GACAAGATTCAAGGAAGGAACAACCACCCGGGCCCGACAATCGGCGTTTACTCGACGGCCCTGGGGCGTTTACTAAACAGCCCTGCCCTGTTCGATTCCTTCCTTGGGGGCGTTTGCTGAACGACTTCGCGTGTCGGGGTGGTTACTATGGGGAGGAATTTTGGTCTCTAAACATGACCGCGCAGCCTGTGCCGGCCCTCCTCACACCGCCTTCGTCGTATTGCAGGGCTTCGACGGGCAAGCGCGCAGTGGCGCTCACACTCGTCCTGAGGATCGTCGGCCCGATGGTCGCGCACTCCGCGGCCGCTCTGTTTTCCCGAGGATGGGGCTCCCAGAGGCCGATTCTGGGCTGGAGGAGGAGGAGGAGGAGGAGGAGGAGGGGGAGGAGGAGGAAGAGGAGGAGGAGGAGGAGGACCTACCGGGAGACTGGGTGAGGCCAGGTTGCGGACCTCTGCGCCGTTCTTTGTCGCTGCGGCTGAGTGGGCCGTGAGGCGATGAGCGGGGAGAAGGGGGGGGGGGGGGCAAGGGCAGGTCCGAAGGAGGTTCAGGAGACCGCGCGGCGGCCCGAAGGTGAAGCATGTCTGGCGGCCTGGGTTTTCAAGCGCCAGTCTCTCACCATGCAGTTCGAGGGCCTCTTGCAGGGGCGGGGGCCGAGCGGTGACCCTTCGAACACGTTCGATCAGATTAAGCGCCCAATGCCTGCTGCTGCTCGACCAACAAAGCCGAGATGTTCTCTTCCGCGGCTACGTTACGTCTTGCACTGGGAAATTATCGGGCTGTTTTCGTCACGTCCGCGGGCACATGTCTTCGCTCGTTCGCCTCGCGAAGTCTTGAGTGCACGCCTATACCGTGTTAGTTGCCGGTCACTGCGTTGAGCAGCTGCGTAGGACTGGCTGGAGGCAGTTCCACGCGCGCCCGGGCAGGTTTACGACACGCAAAATTCATGCGTAGGTGAGATCGTGGAAGAAGCAGGCTAGCAGTAGCAACAAAAACGCTGATCACCACATCACGAGAGTAAACCCTCTTGCGCCAGCGCGGACACAGCGCACGGTCAGATTGAAGCGTCTCCTCGACAGCAGCGGCCACTGGCACCACGATCCAGATGCCTTTGCGCGCATCTTCGCCGAACGCGGGGGAGGTACTTGCTGGTGGGCATGCGAGTCCTGGGCCTGGTAGAAACTGCCTGCAGAGCGTGGTCCCTCTTCCTGGGGGGCGACTTCCAGTTCGCAACCTCTGCGCAGCAACGATTCCCTTGGGGCGATGGCGCTTGATCAGTTTCAGGGCCTCCTGGCCAGGAGAGAGCGCTTCGCTCCAGGCCCGACGGCCCACGCGCCAGCGCGCGGCGCGCTGCAGGCCCCGGCGCTCAAGAAGCTTTGCGCGCCGTCGACGAGCGCGCGCTCGCAGGCAACCCGCTCGCCCCCTACTTCGACTTCGCCGGCTTGGCCATCTCGGCGAGAGGTGGTGCTCCTGGCCTTGGTGACGTTCCGAAGAAAGCGGGAGAACACAGGTAACACGTTGGCCAGCGCAATGATAGCCGCGGCCATCGCGCGGCCATCGCCCAAGGGATGGCCGACCGCGGCCCCAACTCCCAGAGATAGCCTTCGGTTGCCAACTTGTTCGAGGGTGTGATGTGCTGGACCATGTATCCTGATCAGTATACTGTCCTCTTCTTTGTTAGCTTCCCCCATGCTGTCCCTGATGACTATGCTGATGATCCTCTGAGCGCCTTCCTCCCTCATCCCTTCCTCTAAAATTCCTCCTATGCCCTGCTCTCCTATGCTCGTGCCCTTGATCGTGGTCACTCTGCCTTTCAAGCCCGTCGTTCCTGCTTTACCCCCTCCACCACATTTGCCACGGAGGTGGTCACAGGGAGGGCGCGTGTGTCAGTTCGGCGTTCGCCTGAGCTGCAGGGTCTGCTCCGCTAGGTCTACGACCAGCACGCCGCGGGGTGGGCCTCCCTCGTCCCCCTCCTCCCTCCTCATCACCATCCCCCACATGACAGTGGTAGTACAGTCGGGGCCCTGAAGAAGGAACCCTTTTGGTTGGGGAGGGGCTCCGCGTTCCTCAAGTGTTTCACAGCTTGCCTCAGGTGTGTCTTATGTTTTCGATGGGAAATCGAAGTTTAACTTATGGAGACAAGGGGCCTCGTTCCTTATTTAGGGTTCCTTAGGTCAACGCCCCGACTGTATCCCCGCGCCCCCCTTTGAAGCCCATTCCTCCCTCCCTCCCGTTCCGTCTCCCTCCCTCCCTTCCTCTCTCCGCCTTCCTCCTGGGCGGCCAGGCCACGCACCCTCCCCCGTGGCCAGGAGGGCGCCCGCCAGGCCGCGGCGGAGGCCCGCGAGAGGGCCGAGGCGGCGGTGGCGAGGGCGGACGCGATCCGCGCCGAGGCCGAGCAGGAGCCCTCCTCTCGCCAGCCTCCTCCTCCTCCTCCTCCTCCTCCTCCTCCTCCTCCTCCTCCTCCTCCTCCTCCTCCTTCTTCCTCCTCCTCCGCCTCCTCCTGCCCTCCTCCTCCTCCTCCTCCTCCTCCTCCTCCTCCTCTCCTCCTCCTCCTCCTCCTCCTCCTCCTCCTCCTCCTCCTCCTCCTCCTCCTCCTCCCTTCCTCGACCCACCACGCGGCAGGGCCACCACACCGCCTGGGGCCCCCGAGGCCGCGCGGAGGGCGGCGGAAGAGGAGGGGAAGGGCAAGCTGAGTGCGATCGCGCCATAGCTGGCGTCCTGCACCTCCAACCAGAGTTGCTTCCCCCTGCGCTGTTTTTTCTATATCCACCGACGGGTGCATACCGGAGTGAGTGCGATCGCGCCATATCTGACGTCCTACTCCTCCAACCAAAATGTCTTCCCCCTGCGTTGTGTTTTCTGTATCCACCGGCGGGTGCATACCGGAGTGAGTGCGATCGCGCCATATCTGACGTCCTACTCCTCCAACCAAAATTCCTTCCCCTTGCGTTGTGGTCTGTATCCGCCGACGGGCGTATGCCGGAGGTGGAACAACCACGGGGACTCCTCTTGCGCCGTGCGCAATCAAGGAAGGGGAGGTGCGCAGATTGGAGGAGGAGGCAGCGGATGACCGAGTGAGGAAGGGTAGGATCATGAGGAGGGAAGAGGACGAGGAGGAGCAGCACTGGAGACAGCCACTTCGTTCTTTTGTACGAGCGGCCGCTGGGTTCCCAGCCGACGTGCTTGAGCGCGCCCGCACATGCCGAGCGCAGGCCACGCGAGCAGGCAGGCGATGGACAGGGAGGGTTACGTCGGGCCTATCCCTCGACAGGAGGAATACTCAAAAAAAAGTCGAACATCCGCCTGTAGGGAGGCACGCCCGGCTTAAAGGGGGTGGGGACGGGGAGCAGGATCAACGAGCGAGGAGCGCGTGGCCCGCCAGCCGCGCCAGTGCGTCGGTGGTCTCGCCGCCCGCCGCCCGCGCCCGCTCCTCGGCGCTTGCCTCTGGGGTGTCCGCTTGGCGACGGCTGGCCCGCGTAGTGAAAGAAGAAACGCGTCCGGCAGGCTGCGACGGAGGGCGCGGGCGCGACTGCGGAGCCGTCGGCTCGACGCCTCTGCTTTTGAGCCAGCTCTGGGCGACGCTCCTGGCAGGAAGAGCCCCACACATACATAGTCTGAAGAGGGCGCACGACATCGCGGAATAGTGAGGGCGAGTGCCCAAGAAGGTGCAGCTCCAGGATGAGCTCCAGCACCAGGGCTGTGACCATGGCATCACCAAGGCTCAATGGCGTAGCCGGGGCCAGCCTGCACTTCGCGATTCCCGTGATCGAGGACCAGCAGCAGCAGGAACAGGAGTGGGAATTGCAGGAGAAGCAGGCTGACCAGGGAATGGCGGGGGAAGGGACGGAAGCGGGGCGACAACGATGAGGAAACACTCAGATCCAGAAGAGTGGCCCGCGATAGGGGTGAGAGCGCCACTCTGAACGATGGGAGCGAAGTGCCGATCCTAAAATGAAGCCAGCGCTGCAGCGGGAACAGCATTCTGAGACACCGCAGCCGTTCCGAATTTAAAACACTTAGGGGAAATGTCCGTAAGGGCTTCGCCCTCTGCCGCCGGCC